TCCTATCGCTTTTCGGGGTTTTGGCTTGGGATACAAGGAAAGGTGTCGCTTTTGGGAGGGTCCTATCACTTTTGAGGCTTTTTTTTTGCGCGATTCCTGCATCCCACGGCATTCCTCCTCTTCGTGCCTAATACGCGAGTACTGACCATTGCTCATATATATACCACCACTTAGGGTGAGGTCGGGTGAGGTCGCTTTAAATTGCCCAGTGGAAAGGGACCATAATTTTTCGCTACCAGATCGCCGTGGCTGTGAAAGCTTACAGAATGTCAGCTCAGAGGCCAAGATGGTGCACGAATGCCAACCCTACAAAGCATAGCTGTTTAGGGTTTGTTTAGGGTTAGGGGTTTAGGGTTTAGGGGCTTAGGGTGTTAGGGTTTAGGGGTTTAGGGCCCGAAAAGCACTCCTTAACTCATGGGTTTCCTTACTACCCCCTCCCCCCCCTAGACCACCACTAATTATGGGGGGGAACCTGGAACGGGGGTAGTGTAAGGTGGTAGTAGGGAAACCCATGATTAACCCTGAATCCCAAACTACCACCCCTGTCCTGGTCCGAGGCTACTCAACTTACTCGGGCTTACTAGGGAAGAAGGGAATGTGTTGTATGGGGATTAGATAGAGTTTATGTTCCCTTGTTCTTTCCTTACCACCAGTAAGCTGACCCTCGGCTCGCAAACCCTGCGTCAAACATCATGAGCCGGGAAACCGCATATCCAAAATCGTCCTAAGCCCCCAAAAGCTAAATCCCTTAACCCTAAACCCCTAAACCCCTAAACCCTAGAACCCCTATATAACCCTACACCCCTGGATTCTTGAAACCACGCGCCTGAGCGCGTGAACGTTCTCCTGGTCCTGCTTCTTCCACTTGAGGAAGGCAGGGTCCTTAGCAAACCCCTCTAAGGGTCCTAGGGATTAGAGATTTAGGGATCTAGGGTTTAGGGATTTCGGGATTAGGCATTTAGGGATTTAGGGACTTAGGTTTAGGAATTTAGGGATTTAGGATTTAGGGATTAGGGGTTAGGTACTTAGGGTTTTAGGGATTCACGGTTTTTTTGTTTTTGCGATTTACGGTTTAGGGTGCAGGGATTTAGTGTTTAGGGCCCTAACCTCCATGAAGGGTTTAGGGGTTCAGGGTTTAGGGTTCTGAGCCGGGCTGATATGGTTATGTGATGGGTATATCATGGGTCCTTGGCAAATTCTGTGTATGGTTTAGGGTCAGGGGCTGTGGGATTTGGGTTTAGGGGTTAGGGGTTTAAGATTCACGGTGTAGGCCGAGGGTTCACAGAGTTTGTGCCTTTTAGGTGCAGGGTTTAGGGTAGAGGGTTCTAGACTTCAGGGTTTGGAGTGTAGG